CCAAATTTGACAATGATCTTCTAATAAGTTTGTGTTTTTGTAAGCCTTGTGCTGTAGGAGCTAGCAAGACCAAATCATCTGCGTATAAAAGGAATTTGATTTCTTTCTTATTTAGTTCTAATCCTACATTTGATGATTGTTCCAGGTTGTTGATGTATATGTTGAAGAGGGTTGGGGATAAGTTACAGCCTTGATGCTCCACGTCCTTGTTTGAAGAATTCTGTTCTTCTGTTCCCTAATTTAATTGCACATTTATTATCATTATATTTGGATTTAATTAAATCATAGACTTTTCCTCCTATACCAGTTTGCACTATTCTTCCAATTACTCCATTGTGCCAAACAGAATCAAAAGTCGATGAAACAAGCAAATATTTTTCCTTTGTTTTGCTGATGGACGTGTTTTTGAATGAGTGTATTTAGGGTGTAAATATGATCTGTTGTCCTGTTTTGGTAAGAAGCCGATTTGGCCTTTTGATAGTGCGTTATGTTCCATTAAATATGCTAATAATCTCTTGTTCAGTAAACTACAGACTACTACTACTTTGCCTATATTGCTGTTCACACAGACACCTCTGGTGTCTCTATGGTGATGGGATGATCTAGAGGGCACTGGTTATTTTTTATTGCTGATTCTAATTTGGTCATTTTATATAAATATATATAAATAAATACAAGTAAAACACTAGTAAGTAGAACTAGTTAAGTAGTTTGTGACAGAGCAGGGTGATAAAGTCTCTTATCTGCCTGGACTGTAGCTGGGTGGGTGCAGGTGGAGTTCCTCGGGCCACTACAGCAGCATAGGTCTCAGGCTGTGGTACTGAATGAGGGGTGGTCTGAGGCTGTGGTGGCCAGTTGTTCCGGATTTGAAGAGGCTGGTGATGTGGGGTGTGCAGTGGAGTGGGGGTGGAGGCACTGAAAACCTCTCTGGGGTCTCTGGCTGCTCTGCTGGGGTGAAGGTTCTGGGATGAGTAGAGCTGTTCAGTTGTGCGTCCCAGTCTGAAGCACTACTTGAACATTCGGTACCTGTGTACACAGTCTGTAGATGTCTGCATTGATGTTGTTGATTGCGTGTTGCGGTGTGTCCAGTCGTGGTAGTAAGGTGGAGATGGTGATTGTAGCTGTGGGGAATCTCCTACTGGCTCTCATGGCTGTTTGTTTGAGTGCTTCAGGTACGTTTCTGCCTCTTTCAGTGAGATTATTGGTTCCGGTGTGAATGATGATGTGCTGAACTCCTTCTCGATCCATGCTCGATAGCTGATCAGTGGCTTTTGATATGGTTGGAGTCCAGACTTTTGTTGCGTTTTTGTTTGGGAAAAGACGCTTCATGTCCACATATTTCCCGTTGGAGTCACACATGAATATTATTTGGTGCTGTTTCTTCTCAGAGGGTGGTGGTGTCTGAGTGTTGTGTGCAGGTTTTACAGTGTTGTGGAGGTCAGTTGTGAGCGTCTGTGTAGGTTTTGGTAGAGTGGTTTTGGGGGGAGTAGAGGTTGTAGTTGTTCTCTCTCTTATCTGATGCTGAACGTGTTGGAAACCAGGGTAGGTTTTATTTTCTGTCTTTAAATCCAGTGGAAATTTCGACAGTAGCCCTCTCTGCACTGCTGACCTTCATGCTGTTGCTCATTTCCTCCTTTCATGGGTCATTTAGATGGAGATATTTGATTAGTGACGCTGTGTCTTTTTTTATGAATGTGATGAACATTTTCCAGTGGAGTGCTGGACCACACTGACCTCCACAATATGCATCAGCTCATAATCACACACGTATTTCCCAGCATCGATTTTGTCTTTATGGCCGTGACGTTCCACTTATATATGTACACGGACGTAAATGAAAAGCATGGTTTTTTTTTCTGCAAAGCAAGACTAAATACACAGCAATGTTACCATGACAACAAGCATCACATGAGTCCAGTCAGAGTGAGATGAGCAGCAGTGAGCAGTGCTTGTGTTTTTAATCACTTTAAAATGATGTCAGACTCAGGAAAACGTCCTTCACATGTCCTTATTAAAGAAGGCCGAGAGGAAGACGTCGTGTTCTGAGACACATAAGCTGGACGTCCGTCCCACCGCCGTCTTTTAAAGACCAGAGCATAAACTTCGTCTCCTCTGCAGACCAGTTTCTGCTCCGCCATGTTGAACGGTATAAACTTTCACTACGACGTGACGAACATGATCAGAACGGACTTAAACTTTCTGATAGGGAATGTAATCAGATACAGGCGTTTACACTGATATTATTCTTCTATTTAACGGATTATTTACAGGATTACCCACCTCGATCAGTCAGATAGAAACTGTATTCCGAATGGCCTCAATCGGATGTATTCTATTCCGATTGAGGTGTTTACATGTACGCATTCTGTTCCGATTGAGCTATTAGTCGGATTATTAACGGATTATTAGGCTGCATGTAAACGTAGCTAATAACTAGTAAACTTATAAGTGTAAACTTTACACTTTACAGAAAGTGTTTACTAACTAATATTAAGAAATGCATTTGTTGACGTGAACACATAACGGACATACCTACATAGTGATTAGCTAACACTAAGTAAACAAGTAGCAAATCATTGCTGTCGGAACAAAAAAGAGTTTCTCCATTTTTGTCATTTTTATTTATTTTTTTTTTTACATTATTTGGAAAAAAGTAGTTGCCCTTTATGTTTTGTCAAAAATTCATGATGAACTGACCAACAGAAATGGTCCAAAAACGTCTCCATTTACTTCTCGCATTAGTTAATGTAGTTTTCACAGTAAGTGTTGACTAACAGTTACATTAAAAACACATCAGATACTACACAATTAAAAAAGGTGGTTCTTCAAGGGTTCTTTGGTAAAGAAAATGGTTCTGTTTAGAACCATGAACATTCAGAGAACCCTTTGCAATATTACAGGGTTCTTTGCATCATGGACGGGTTCTTCAGATTGACGGAGAATGTGCTGTGGATGGTTCTATATAGAACCTTTTTGAAAATGTTTCTACAGAGCACTCAAAAAGGTTCTTACACAGTTAGGGTGGCAAGCTTGTAACAATAGAAAACCCTTTTGGGTGCTGTATAGAGTCCTTTTCCAAAAGGTTCTGTGCAGAACTGTCTACAGCACATTTTCCATCAACCTGAAAAACGCTTTCCTGATGCAAAGAACCCTTTAATCATTTAATCACTTTGAAGCTTTAGCACTTTATTTTAAACAAAAAAAAATCAAAAAAGAGAAGAAAGTGATGTTTTCTATGCTGAGAGATGCTGAGGCTGTATTGTGAAAACTCGTCATGTCTTTGTAAAGAAATAGTACAATTGTTATTTGTTTACTTATTTACTTATGTTAGCTGACCATCATTAACATATCATCATTGAAATGTCGCCAAATGCTTAAGTTAATGTCAGTCAACACTAAATATGAAAATAACATAAACTAACGCAGTTGTTACTTATTTATTTGGGTTAATTATCATTTAGTTGGGTCATTCTACAGATTTTTGTGTTACTGTAGCTACTACACCTGAACCTAAACCTAACCCTAACATTAACCACAGTATCCAAAAGGCAATTTTCTGCTCTTTGAATTTTTTAAATAAAAAAGTAATCGTGGTTTCATATAGTCCTATCATAGGACTTTTTCTGTCTCTCCATAGGAGTCACTGGTGTTACTGATCCTCATTGGTGTTCCACATAATAAAGGAAACACCAGAGACATTTTTAATGAAAAATGCATTTTACTAAATGGCTGCTACAGAGCATCAAGTCGGTCACACCAGTGACTTCAGCTAAAAGGCTTCATATGAAATCATGAGCTAAATGAGAAAATCTCTGATAACTGAAAGACACAGTGGACTCACCATGAGCTTTTCTTCATAGATCCTCAGAAAACAGGTAAAAGGAAGTCGAGTGATGTCATCAGTGTAACTTTTATTTCAAAATAAGTGACTTTTTGTTACGCCAGTGACACGACTCCTGGGAAACTTTCATTACATATTTTATAATATTTATTTGGCATTTGTTTTCTTTGCATCATTTAATTGTCATTATATATATATATATTATATATATATATATATATATATAATTTCATACTCATGTATAGGTTATTGCAGTTAAAATAGCAGAAAAACATGTTTTCTTTGTGAGGACGAGCTCTTCTGTGGTGCTTGGAATTCTATATGATTGATTTGAAAACCAATATTGCTGATTTGAGGCTCAAGGCTCTATTTGGGTGGTGGATCATTCTCAGCACTGCAGTGACACTGACGTGGTGGCGGTGTGTTAGTGTGTGTTGTGCTGGTCTGAGTGGATCAGACACAGCAGTGCTGCTGGAGTTTTAAACACCTCAGTGTCACTGCTGGACTGAGAATAGTCCACCAACCAAAAATATCCAGCCAACAGCGTCCTGTGGGCAGCGTCCTGTGACCACTGATGAAGGACTAGAGGATGATCAACACCTCTGCAGTGGCAGAAGAGCTATCGTCTCTGACTTGACATCTTCAAGGTGGACTGACAAGGTCGGAGTGTCTAATAGAGTGGACAGTGAGTGGACACAGTGTTTAAAAACTCCAGCAGCACTGCTGTGTCTGATCCACTCAGACCAGCACAACACACACTAACACACCACCACCATGTCAGTGTCACTGCAGTGCTGAGAATGATCCACCACCCAAATAGTACCTGCTCTGTGAGGGTCCATGGGGGTCCTGACCACTGAAGAACAGGGTAAAAGGGGGCTAACAAAGTATGCAGAGAAACAGATGGACTACAGTCTGTAACTGTAGAACTACAAAGTGCACCTATATAGTAAGTGGAGCTGATAAAATGGACAATGAGCGTAGAAACAAGGAGGTGGTCTTAATGTTATGACTGATCAGTGTAGAATTACATGTTTTTTTATTGTTGGTAACTGCAGCTTTTATGGAGACAAAAAGAGAGGCCAGACAGATATGGACAAAGACTCTAACAGATCTGTGTTGATGAAATCCTGACAGTTCTCTCCCATGTTATCTTTAGGTGTGGTCTCAGATGAAGCGTGGGGTCCCCCTGTGCCTTTCTACGACTTCCTGGCCGTTATGGATGAGGAAGCGCCCGGTTATGCGGCTCAGCGGAGCCCTAAAACAAAGCCTGGGGGCAAGAAAGGGTCGGAGAGGGGGCAGGAGAGAAATCCAGCTGGACGAGGAGAAACAGAAACAGCTTTTAACCCTCAAACACCTCCTGCTCACACTGAACTGTAGAGTCAGACCGTCAACCCTCTCTCTCTGAACTCTAACAGACTAAGTCCTGTTGGAATGGGATTATTTTACACACGGAGGTGGGATAATGGAGTTATTACTGGTGAGTTGAGTCCCGAAGCCAAAAAAACTTTTCTGGTGTCTGGTTGTTTTACACTTCATTAGACTGAAACACCTGGGGCCCGGAGCAGGACAGTTACTGAAGAAAAGTTTGTTTACTCAAGCCAGCAATTTTATAAGAGAAGGAAAAAAATTCTTAACTGAAAAGTTCCTACTAAGTTTCTTGGGGAAAAACTTTTCTTTTTAAAGTGTCTAATAGTTTTTCAAAATTGCATGTTTACACAGTGTAAAGAGTGGCTGGCATTTTGAAATGAGTTTCAAAACATTACAAAAGTTACAAGGTTTTATTAAATGGTGTCAAATTATGGACAAACTCCAAATTCGTCTTAAATTCACTCCTGAAAAAAGTTTTGCTTATCACTCCCAAAACTCTCCAAAACCTCCTGAATATTCAGTTGGCACTGCTTATAAACCCTCTACAAACATTCAAAATCTTGGCAATCCTGGCAGTAGGTAGCGCTATCACCTCACAACAAGAAGGGCCTGGGTTCGATTCCTCAGCCGGGTAACCAGGGTCCTTTCTGTGTGGTGTTTGCATGTTCTTCCCTTGTCTGTGTGGGTTTCCTCCCACCGTTACACATGCTAAATTTCCCCTAGGTGGGTGGGTAGGTAGGTTGGTGCGTAGGTTGGTGCGTAGGTTGGTGGGTAGGTTGGTGGGTAGGTTGGTGGGTACGTGTGTGTGTGTGCTTGTAGTGCTATACTTGTGAGGACCCTATGTCCTCACTATGATAGGACTATATGAAATGCTCAAGTAAGAACATTTTGCTGGTGCTCACTTGAGCATGTGTTGTTTTCACCACGATTACTTTTTTATTTAAAAAATTCAAAGAGCAGAAAATTGCCTTTTGGATACTGTGGTTAATGTTAGGGTTAGGTTTAGGTTCAGGTGTAGTAGCTACAGTAACACAAAAATCAATAGAAACCTATGGACATCCTCATATGTATAGCAAGACAAACGTGTGTCTGTGTGTGTGTCCTGTGATGGACTGGCAGCCTGTCCAGGGTGTTTCCTGCGTTCCACCCAGTGGCTGCTGGGATAGGCTCCAGCAGCCCCGCGACCCAGAAAGATAAGCGGCTTAGAAGATGAATGCATGAACGCAACACTGCTTCAACCCTTACTCAGTCTGAAAGATGCTGAAACCATGAATCATCCTTTCGTAACCTCACACTTTGTTTTACACAGTGAGACTTTCATACAGCTCGTTGCATGTTGTGAGTTGCCTGCAATATTTTCCGTGAAACTTGACAGTTGCATGAAGCAATTAAAAAGATAGCTGGACACAACACATTCAGTTACTAGTAAGCTGAATTGGCAGTTTGCATTTTTTGATACACCACATGATTCTAATTTTATATCCTTGTATTTTCTTTCCAGCTTAATGGTGGTCTTAAATCTGTCTAGGGTACTACTGACAAAATGGAAAAAAAGACTAACCTTGAGTTAATCCTGTGGGGGATGGGTGGTCTTCCCCAGTAAACCATCTTCTGTTTTATTTTCTTGTCCACTGATCTGGTGAAAGTTTTTAAGTATGCATTATGCATTATGGAGTTTTGATTGTCTGTTTCATGAGACTTGTTTCACAAAGTTGAGCCTCCTGCAGCTGTTGCGGCTGAGTTTCAAATGAGTTGCAGGACACTACATAATGCAATTCAGGTATAATTTGGTTTCATGTAGGTTTCACTGTGTAAAGCCCCCCCTCATTCAGCGTGATTACATAATACATCAACATTTTCATAGTCTGTTTCACGAAACTTGTTTCACAATGTTGAGCCGCCTGTTGCGGCTGAGTTTCAGATGAGTTGCAGGACACTTTACATTATAATTTATTTATTTGTCATCATGTATACGCAGGCTAAGACTACTGCAGCTCCCACTGTATTGGGATTTCTGGTAAACCCACTTCTAGAGTCTTTTCACATACCGAGCTGTCGGCACACATCACACCTGTTCTCCATCAGTCACACCAGCCTCCCGTTATTCCCTTGTCCCACATTAAGGCTGCGTTTACAGTACAGGCCTCATTGCTCTGTTCTGACATTGTTCTCAGATCCGATCTTTCTAACTTAATTGTTCACATTCGTGTAAATAAGTGAGTCAAATCTGTCATTAATCTGAAGCGAGCTCCATGCACACATCCTAATCAGTTATGCCACATGAATGAACCGTGTGCGTCATGAATGACAAACAAACTAACCAGCAGAACGAGCCTTCGTCACCAGGATAATTTGCTCTAAACTGTTCTCAGCTGTTCATTATTACAACGACATGAAACCGGAAAAGGCTCAGATGCTTTTGCAGCGTTTACTGGCACTAACTTCAGGTTTGGCGCTTCAGGTTTCGCGTTTCACGTGATTTTTCTGTCGTGGCCGCCATGTTTTGGACAGAATTTCTGGCTTCGCTGCTCCACACGCACAAAACTAGAGGTGAAAGATGCCTAAAAATACTCTCCTTACTTTCGAAGAGAAAAACGTGACCTCGACAAAGCCTATAAAATAGGCTACGATCCTTATACAGCCTCCCCCCCCCCAACTCCTGGTCCCACTTAAACTGGCGGAAAGCTACCAAATTTATTTTCCTGACATTTATATTGATCTCATACTCAGCCCCTCTCCCCTATCCTGGAGTCTCTCAAAGCATTTAAAAGCACAGAAGCCCACCGGCTCTTCACGTCAGGGTGGGTAAAGGATCCCATGGTGTTGCATAAAGAGGAGAAAACACTCCGTCATCATAGGAGGGTAACGACATCAGCTAATTAACACAGATGTGATCAATGCTGGCCTTTAGATAACTTTAGCTGATGTTAACAGCCGAGAGATGAACAGTCATCCCCCTAATGGAGCTGCAGACCGCCGGTATAACTTCACTCTCTGTTTCTGAATTAAATGACGTTTGAATGGAGAAACATAAACGTTAAATATCAGACTGAATGTCGTGGGTCGGAAAACGACGTCGTGTTTCGACAGACGTGATTCTGTAAGTTTGCTAGTGCAGTTAGTTCAGAGTTCAGCTCCAGTCCTGAAACCCCTGCACTGCATAACTGTGGTTTCCTGGTTAAAATACCTGATATTATTAGCTAATTAATCCCTTCCTGAGCTGAACGAGGTGTGAACAGCAGAGAGGAACACTAAACTATACAGTGCAGCGTCTCCAAACCTGGAGTGAAAACACTGAATTAAAGGTCTGTGTGTCTCTCGTCTCTCTGCTTCTGCCGCGTCTTGCAGGTGAATCATAGCGAAGTAAAGGCATCCCTGATTTGGTCCTCAAAATGGCGGCACCTATACAGTGTGATGTCATGTGAAACGCAAGAATAAATCTTTTTATGTGATATTTTTCTTAAGTATTGTAGTAGAATGTATGTTTTGGATCATGTCTGTGGTTGTTAGGCCTGATTTGTGCCAGACGTTCAGTGACCTCCACATGCAGTCTACACTGGTCTGTGATTAGGAGCAGCACGTGTGCATCATCAGCGTATGGATCGTATATGTACTGACGAGGGTTGTGGTTTTACTGATTGAGTCCTTGCCTCTTTCCCACAATTCCCTCTCCGTGATGTTCTCCTCCTGCTGTGGAAACAGTTACATCATGTCTGCGCTAATTACAGTCCATATTAAACCTGCGCTCAGTTTCCTGCGCCGCTTCTGAAGCTCAGGACAATAAACCTGACCGTTAATCCAAAAAACATGCTGAAGTTCAGCCTTTCAAGAAATACTCCAGTATTTTAACCTGATCTCGATATGCTGCAGTGGGTTATTGGGTCATTGGTGTCAGAGTAAAGTTGGAGAACCCCTTCAATCCTCCTGCCAAGCTCGATAAACACCACAGTAGTAAAGCTGCACAACACAGAATGAATATATATGATATATATGAATGGTTCTTCAAGGGTTCTTTAGTGAAGACAGTGGTTCTATATTAGTAGTTCTTTAGTAAAGACAGTGGTTATATATATGAACACCCAAAAACTATTTGCATGCTTAAATGGTGATATGGTTCTACACAGAACCCAAAAGAGTTCTTCTATTAATGAATGAGAAAAGATCATTCTTCAAGGGTTTGTAGTAAGGACAATGGTCCTGTATAGAACCGTGAACACTCAGAGAACCATTTGCATGATTAAAGTGTTCTTTGCATGGTGAAATAGTTCTTCAGATTGATGGAGAATGTGTTTTGTGTGGTTCTATGTAGAACCTTTTTGAATATGGTTCTGTATAGCACCAAAAAGGGTTCTTCTATTGTATACACTCTTTAAAAAGATCATTCTTCAAGGGTTTTTAGTTAAGACAATGGTTCTATATAGAACTGTGAACCTTCAGAGAACCATTTGCATGATTAAATAGTTCTTTGCATGGTGACATGGTTCTTCAGATTGATGGAGAATGTGTTCTGTGTGGTTCTATATAGAATATTTTTGAATATGCTTCTACATAGCACCAAAAAGGGTTCTTCTGTTGTATAGATTCTTAAAAAAGATGGTTCCTCAAGGGTTGTTTAATAAAGAAAATGCTTCTATATAGAACCGTAAACACTCAAAAATGCATGATTAAAAGGTTCTTCAGATTCAGGGAGAATGTGCTATATATGGTTCTATATAGCACCAAAAATGGTTCTTCTATTCTATACACTCTTTAAAAAATGGTTCTGCTAGGGTTGTTTAGTAAAGAAAATGGTTCTATATAGAACCACGAACACTCAGAAAACCCTTTGCATTATTAAAAGGTTCTTCAGGTTGAGGGACAATGTGCTACAGATGGTCCTATATAGAACCTTTTTGTAAAGGGTTGTATATAGCACCTAATAGGGTTCTTCTATTGTTTCAATGTCAACCCTGTAGCTAGTAGAACCATTTCACCATGCAAAGAACCAGTTAAGCGTGAAATGGTTCTATATAAAACTTATGGTTCTATATAGAGCCATTGCCTTTACTAAAGAACCCATTGAAGAACCATCTTCTTTAAGAGTGTACCAGCTTGACATCGTACCAGTAGAAGACTGCTTAATGAACAGTCAGCTAATATAAAAGTAATGTGCATCAGACACAGCAGTGCTGCTGGAGGTTTTAAACACTGTGTCCACTCACTGTCCACTCTATTAGACACTCCTACCTTGTCAGTCCACCTTGTAGATGTCAAAGTCAGAGACGATAGCTCATCTGCTGCTGCACAGTTTGTGTTGGTCATCCTCTAGTTCTTCATCAGTGGTCACAGGGCGCTGCCCACAGGACGCTGTTGGCTGGATATTTTTGGCTGGTGGACTATTCTCAGTCCAGCAGTAACACTGAGGTGTTTAAAAACTCCAGCAGCACTGCTGTGTCTGATCCACTCAGACCAGCGCAACACACATTAACACACCACCACCACGTCAGTGTCACTGCA